CACCACATCTGTCAGAGTGCAGACGCAGGACAGGAAAGTCCAACTGGAACCGCTCGCGGAGCTGGAGACGAGTAGCCCGGATCCAGGGGATGAAAACATCATGGACATCCCTCTTGCGCTGCAAGGGGAAGACCGTGGTGTAGCGCGTGTAGTTGTCGACAACCAGCAGGAAGTACCGCTCGTGGCCCTGTCCACGGACGCGGGCTGGGCCCCGCACGTCCAGGTGGAGAGTCTGAAGTGGAGCCTCTGTGGGAGGGAACGAGAAGGAGTGAGGAGCAGCGCGCTGCCGCCCCTCGACGCAAGGAATGCAGGGCGGCGCAAGCGAGGGAGGGAGGGCAGGCAGAGACCTGGGAAGACCAGAAACCAGAAAGCGAGAGTGCATGCTACGAAGGCGAGGCAGGGAGGGGTGTCCCTGGCAGTGGTGCCACAGGAGGGTGTTGTGAGACAGCCGGCGACACTCACACTAGGTAGCTACTTGAGCAGACGCGTGCAGCTAGGGAGACAAAGGGGTGAAGCAGGACGCAGTGGTGAGGGTGTGCAGACTGGACCCTGGCGCACGGGTGAACGTGGCCAGGTGGCAGCCGGTCTAGGAGCACGTGCAAATCGCCACACTCTATCGGCCAAGGGTGAAGGTGTCAACACCCGCATCCTGGAGGACACCATTGCTCACCAAGTTCGTAGAGAACGAGGGGAGGTGGAGACCAGACGGCTCACCAGACGGGACCGCCGGACACGGAAGCACAGTGGAAGACCGTGCAATCATTGGGCCCCCAGACGGATCAGCCAGTGAGACAGGTGCAGGTGCAGAAAGAGGAATGACTGTGGTACTGTCGGGAAAGAAACAGCGGGAAGCACCAGAGTCAAGTGTAAAGGTGTGCAAGGCCTGTGCAGGCGCAGTACCAAGGGGAGCAGACTCACAAGCACCTAGTGCAGTAGGGGCTATACCAGGATCCGGCGGCACACAGAAGTAGTAGTCACCCTCAGCACTAACAGACAATGCATACATAGTAGCTAGAACAGCCTCATAGTCAAGATCAAAGATTGGTACATCACGCCTAAGCAAGTCTCCCCAGTTGGGGAACTGAGTAGCATAAGGAAACTTGGCGCGCCAGGCGTCGCTAAGTCGAGCAAAGCAGTGCTGCTCAGTGTGAAAAACCCTGTGCACTAGCGATTAGCGCGGGGACCTGTGCGGATGATATAGGGGCACCGACCAGGACCACTAGAAGCCCCACGCCCGGCATACCAGTCAAGAAGTTGCTGGGAAGTGGGGGTTTGGCGCTGACGCTGCTACTATTGCTGCTGCTGTTGCTGCGGCTGCTGCTAGCCCTGACCACCACTGCCACCACCGCTCCCTCCTCCCCCACCGCCGCTGCTGCCCCCTCCACCGCCCCCAGTGCCTCCGCCGCCCCCACCACCACCTCCACCCCCTCCACCCCCACGACCACCCCCACCACCTCCACCGCCCCCGCCGCCTGCACCACCGCCACCTCCACCGCCGCCCCCACCTGCCCTGCCACCCCTGCGGTTGCGACGCTTCCCACTAGGAGCGGAAGCAGCTCCGACCTCAGCACCAAGGTAGTCGTGAGCAGCAGCTGCGGAGGCGTAGGAGAGGGTGAGAGGGGAGAGGGAGCATCCCTCAAAGAGGGGAGAGCGACGAGAACTACAAGCAGCACCTACAGCGAAGATGTTCTTCACTGGTGCAAGGAGGTGCTTCTCAAAGTCGTTGACAGTGAGAGTGGGGGGGTCTAGCGCTAGGAAGTGGTCTCTGGCCGAGTTAAGAGTGTCTGGGAGGCGCGTAACGAGGAAATAGAGAGTGGAGTACATCGAGGGGGGGGGGGGATTGCGGCGCAGAACTCGGCTGAGAGGGCGGCATGAAAGCGAGTGTCAGTAGCGCGGAGGTGAGAAATGAGGTCCTCAGTAGTGGTGAACGAGGAAAGGTCGGGGAACAGGTAGGGTAGCATGAGCCGACCTATGGCCGCAGTGGCCGGGGAGGAGTAGCGCGCAACTATAGCGTCGTACTGTGTCTTGTACTGGCTGAAATGCGCGCGCTTAGTGATCGGCAGATGGTTCCTAATAGCTAGGCGTGCAGCAGCATCGCGAGTCTGCCACTACGAGCGTTCGAGAGTAGGAGCATCAGCAGCAGGAGCAACGGAAGTGCCAGACACATAATCGAACAGTGAAACACCCTCTTTGGCATCGGTCAAAAGGAACAGTTGCAGGTCATCTAGCCACACAGTCAACTCTATGGGGCGACCGTCAGGTTCGAACGCGAGAACATTAGGCGTCGTCATAACAGCAGTAGGCAAAGGCAGCAGAAAGCAGGCAGGCAGTAGACACGAGGCAGCAGGCAGTAGACAGCAGGCTAACACAGAGGCAGTAGGCAGTAGGCAGTACAGGCAACGTGCAGGGCAGTAGCTTGCTGCACCCGAGCTCCTAAGGTGGGGCTCTAGACAGTGGCAGGCCGTACAGTTTGAAGGCAGCGGACTCGGTAGCAATGAGCCTCACAGGCAAGTACACTAGTAGACGCGCGCAGCTGCTGGCTGCGTGCGGCTAAGGGCAGCGCGTGGCTACGTGCTGCGCGCGGCTTCTGGCTGCGTGCGGCTAAGGGCAGCACGTGGCTCTCTGCTGCGCGTGGCTACGTGCTGCGCGCGGCTCTTGGCTGCACGTGGCGACGGGCAGCGCGCGTGGCTGCGTTTTGCGTGCGGCGACGGGCCTAAGCAGGCTGCGCGCGGGCGGCGTAAGGGGCGCGTGGGCTCTACGTGAGCTGCGCGGGCGACGCGGACCGGCACGCGGCTCTGCAGCAGTGGCGCACGCTAAAAAAACAGAGACGCGCGCGCTAGAAACCGAGGCGCGCGCGGGAAAAATAAGTGACGCGCGCTGCAGCCAAGGCGTGCGCGAGCAGTAGGCAAGGCAGGCAGTTAGGTGGGCCCGATTCGTAGGTCCTAGAGACCTCCTGCTCTTGTTACCATGTTAAGAACCTTAGGCAAGGATGAGTGGATTGGGTGAAGGCTAGGGTACAAGACTAGGGTATCGAGAAAGTTTGTGTACCCCCTAGAGCTAACCCCCATACAGCCTAGATGACATAAACAAGCATATATATAATTTGACACGGCTCACACACCCGCCACCCCCATACCTGCCACCTTCTTACCCCCAACGCAGGCGGCGCGCGTGCGGCGTGGGGCAGATAAGCGGGCAGCAGCTGGAGCGGCAAGCGAGCAGAAGCGGGGTGGCGCGCGGGTCCTTGGGGCGCGACGGGCGACGGGCAGGGAGGCGCGCGGGCCCTCAGGGCGCCGTGACGGGCGACGGGAGGGGGCGAGGCGCTAGCCCCTAGGGCGCCGCGACGGGCGACGGGCAGAGGGCGGCGCGCGGGCCCCCGGGGCGCTGCAACGGGTGACAGAAGGGGGCAGCGCGCGGGCCCCCGGGGCGCCCCGACGGGCGACGAAACCGCCGCGCGCACCCGGAGCGCGCGGCGGGCAGGAAACCACCACGCGCCCCAAGCGCATGGCGGGCAGAAAACCGCCACGCGCCCCGAGCGCGCGGCAAGAAGAAAAAACGCCACGCGCGCCGGGCACGCGGCAGGCAGAAATCGTTGCGCGCCGGGGGCGAGCGACAAGCAGGACAGCAGCGGAAGCAAGTGGGCCCGCAGGCCAGGAGCGTTCTCGCTCTGATAGCATGTCGAGAAACACTAGGAGAAAGTTAGAAACAAAAAAGAGGTTGTACTAGCAGCAGATAGGATACATATAGCAAACCCTAATTTGGACTGTACACACTATAGAGTACCCCACTGCATACTAGACAATTACTTACAGCATTCTGACACAACATTGACTTGTTTGAAATTGGTTTGTTTAGTTTCGCGCAGCTTCTCACTACATAGTCAGAATTCTCGCTTACTCAACAAACCCCAGGAAGCAAACCCTAGGAGTCCCAAATTGCACTCACAATATTCTTGGTGTTTCTTGCTTTCCGATTCGTTCAAAAACTGATGGCCAATCAAATTGCATCGCACTTCTCGTAACCGCATTTCGCAACCAAAACAACACTCAGAAAGCACTCCGATCAACTTTAGTAAGCTTGTCCCGCGCGGTCTGCAATTCGGGCCTAGAGCTTTCAGTAGATTTATGTGAAGGCTGATCTTTAAGTAAGGTTAAAGCAATGGTGCATAATCCAGCATTAGATGTTAGAATCTCAACTTACGGTAAGCACAGCTTCATACCCTCCCACAACGACGACACGGTACAGTCATACCCTCCATTGAGTGAGCGAAAAAGGTTCATTTTCTTCTTGTATCGAGATGCAATCAGCTTGCCGCAGGTATCCCCTTTCCTAACATAGTAGAACCGGCGAGTATCGCACTGCGTTCCTCCAGAACCCGAACGCATGTCCGTCAATATGCACACCTGGTGTGAGGGGTCAACCCACAAATCCACCCAAACTTTGCCACGTACACCATGTCGAAATGCAATTTTCAGCAACCACGGTACCACTATAAGATGCCCTGACACACAACAACACCAATACCAAGACCATCGCTCACCCATGAACGAATCTATAACACCCACGAACCAGACAGTCATGTTCCATAAGTGCAGCAAGGCCCGCGCGAGTCCTTGCAAGAAGAAAAATGCGAAGTATACAAGATCAGAGGCAAACAACACGCATGGTGTTGAGAACAACACAGTATGGACCCACCTTGTGGAGAACAGTCAGTCCAGCCAACAGCACCGGGGTGGGCAGCACGTGGCCTTAACAAAGAGCAGCAAGGTTGAGCTGGACTTGGTCTGCGAAGCCCAGCTCATGTAAGTGCCAGGTGACATTCAGATGACCCACTCACTGAGTCGACCACTCAGAAGTCAGATCATGTGAGTGCCACGTCACATTCACATGACCTACTCACCGAGTCGAGAACAGAGTCATCCCACCCAGCTGCATTGAGGTGACTTTTGAGCCGACTCTAAAGTCACCTTGAGTGCCACGTGAAACTCAGGCCCACTCACCGAGTCGAGAACCGAGTCGTCCCACCCAGCTGCACCAGGCAGCAGTTGGTCGCAGTAGAGAGCGGGGTTGGCGAGGAAAAGCTTTGAGTAGCTCATGAGGCTGAACCCGTAGCCGAGCCTGGAGAGCTGCTGGCATGTGTGCGTCTCCGGATCGAAAAAGTGATGAACCATGCAGGCTGCCACTGGGGGTGTGGGCACGTCAGGGTTGTGCCGCACACATATTCGCTGCATGGAGTGAGTGGGGGAGGAGGGGGGGTGGGGGAGAGGGGGAGTGGGGAGTGGGGGAAGAGGTGAAGTGAGGGGAGTGGGTGGGGGGGAGAGGTGGGGGTGGGGAGAGCAAGGTGGAGGGGAGGGGAGAGAGGCTTTGGTGGTGAGGGGCCATGCCCACCACAGAGGCTTTGGTGGTGAGGGGCCATGCCCACCACAGAGGCTTTGGTGGTGAGGGGCCATGCCCACCACAGAGGCTTTGGTGGTGAGGGGCCATGCCCACCACAGAGGCTTTGGTGGTGAGGGGCCATGCCCACCACAGAGGCTTTGGTGGTGAGGGGCCATGCCCACCACAGAGGCTTTGGTGACAGAGCTGGTGCTGGAAAGATGGGGCTCATGCCCACTAGACTGCCCACTAGAGTGCTTCCAAGACTGCTTTTCTCTGCCGGTATTTCCCTTCACAATCAGTTGTCACACCCAGGACATTTAAAACGTCTTGACATAACAAAATTAGTTAACAAGCTATTGAGATGATTCATAAAATTAGCATGTTAGTTTGTATCTGTTGAATAGAAATACATACGTTTACCATAGGAAAGTTGTCATGAGTGGAAAGTTGTCATGAGTGGTATGCTACAATTGACATGGTAACGCTAACGCTTGCTGGCATGGTTGGCCGAATAGAGCAAAGAGCGCCACACCAGAAAAGGTATCAGGAACGGACTGAAACGGGAAGGGTTTGGGATGGGATCAAACCTTTCCAGGGACGAGAGGTTGTGAGCAGTTAATGTTACGGTTTAGATCTGTTATGTTGGTGTCAAGAAGGCTGTTGATTGAAGCACACGTGTCACCCTGGGATGGTGGGGAGGGGAGATGGGTGCATGTGAGAGCGAGATGGAGAGTGGGTGAGAGGGGAAGTCAGTAATACAATTCCAGTCTGAATTTAATGCCGCGGGTTTTGAGAGTGTTTGGTTGGCGTGCAGTGCATGTACCACTGTGGTTCCATTATGTTGCAATGTCAAATATGTGTGACGCAGGGGTGTGTGACGCAGGGGTGAAGGCATGAAGGGGATGATGTGTGGCGATGAGAAGGCATGCATTTGCGAGCAGTGAATGGTAAAGGCTGCTACAATCGCCATTAGGAACCCCAGTCCAGTCTAATCAACGGGACAGGCACATTTCCACATGCATCATTCTGGAGTGTGTGAGAAGGGCTAGAAGGGGCAGAGGGGCATGCGTCGTGTCAGGTCAGAAGGGCAGAAGAAGAGAGGCAGGTTGATATGCATCTATTCCTTTGACCAACTGGCGAATATGTTTCACACTGTCATTAGAAGCACCCCTTCATGCCTCACCTGGTTGGCGGTATACATGCTGGTGCAGTTCTTGTTAGCAGATGCGGACACATTGACTATCAACCCATGAGGTATGGGCTTGTCACATGCCATGCCCTGCCGTACAGAAAGAACCACAGCAGAGAACAAAGCAACATGCCGCGGATTGATAAATACCATGGGGGGAGTGAAACAGAGCATGGATGAAGCAAATGAGCATCTATTACGAGGGTGCAGCAGCACTCGGGTTTCGGGTTTAGGGTGTAGGGGCGTCTCGAGAATTAAAAGAGGAAGAGCCCTTAACAGGATATGTTCACCCAGTCTCTGTGCTCCTGAGCTCAGCTAGTCTGTGCTCCTGAGCTCAGCTAGTCTGTGCTCCTGAGCTCAGCTAGTCTGTGCTCCTGAGCTCAGCTAGTCTGTGCTCCTGAGCTCAGCTAGTCTGTGCTCCTGAGCTCAGCTAGTCTGTGCTCCTGAGCTCAGCTAGTCTGTGCTCCTGAGCTCAGCTAGTCTGTGCTCCTGAGCTCAGCTAGTCTGTGCTCCTGAGCTCAGCTAGTCTGTGCTCCTGAGCTCAGCTAGTCTGTGCTCCTGAGCTCAGCTAGTCTGTGCTCCTGAGCTCAGCTAGTCTGTGCTCCTGAGCTCAGCTAGTCTGTGCTCCTGAGCTCAGCTAGTCTGTGCTCCTGAGCTCAGCTAGTCTGTGCTCCTGAGCTCAGCTAGTCTGTGCTCCTGAGCTCAGCTAGTCTGTGCTCCTGAGCTCAGCTAGTCTGTGCTCCTGAGCTCAGCTAGTCTGTGCTCCTGAGCTCAGCTAGTCTGTGCTCCTGAGCTCAGCTAGTCTGTGCTCCTGAGCTCAGCTAGTCTGTGCTCCTGAGCTCAGCTAGTCTGTGCTCCTGAGCTCAGCTAGTCTGTGCTCCTGAGCTCAGCTAGTCTGTGCTCCTGAGCTCAGCTAGTCTGTGCTCCTGAGCTCAGCTAGTCTGTGCTCCTGAGCTCAGCTAGTCTGTGCTCCTGAGCTCAGCTAGTCTGTGCTCCTGAGCTCAGCTAGTCTGTGCTCCTGAGCTCAGCTAGTCTGTGCTCCTGAGCTCAGCTAGTCTGTGCTCCTGAGCTCAGCTAGTCTGTGCTCCTGAGCTCAGCTAGTCTGTGCTCCTGAGCTCAGCTAGTCTGTGCTCCTGAGCTCAGCTAGTCTGTGCTCCTGAGCTCAGCTAGTCTGTGCTCCTGAGCTCAGCTAGTCTGTGCTCCTGAGCTCAGCTAGTCTGTGCTCCTGAGCTCAGCTAGTCTGTGCTCCTGAGCTCAGCTAGTCTGTGCTCCTGAGCTCAGCTAGTCTGTGCTCCTGAGCTCAGCTAGTCTGTGCTCCTGAGCTCAGCTAGTCTGTGCTCCTGAGCTCAGCTAGTCTGTGCTCCTGAGCTCAGCTAGTCTGTGCTCCTGAGCTCAGCTAGTCTGTGCTCCTGAGCTCAGCTAGTCTGTGCTCCTGAGCTCAGCTAGTCTGTGCTCCTGAGCTCAGCTAGTCTGTGCTCCTGAGCTCAGCTAGTCTGTGCTCCTGAGCTCAGCTAGTCTGTGCTCCTGAGCTCAGCTAGTCTGTGCTCCTGAGCTCAGCTAGTCTGTGCTCCTGAGCTCAGCTAGTCTGTGCTCCTGAGCTCAGCTAGTCTGTGCTCCTGAGCTCAGCTAGTCTGTGCTCCTGAGCTCAGCTAGTCTGTGCTCCTGAGCTCAGCTAGTCTGTGCTCCTGAGCTCAGCTAGTCTGTGCTCCTGAGCTCAGCTAGTCTGTGCTCCTGAGCTCAGCTAGTCTGTGCTCCTGAGCTCAGCTAGTCTGTGCTCCTGAGCTCAGCTAGTCTGTGCTCCTGAGCTCAGCTAGTCTGTGCTCCTGAGCTCAGCTAGTCTGTGCTCCTGAGCTCAGCTAGTCTGTGCTCCTGAGCTCAGCTAGTCTGTGCTCCTGAGCTCAGCTAGTCTGTGCTCCTGAGCTCAGCTAGTCTGTGCTCCTGAGCTCAGCTAGTCTGTGCTCCTGAGCTCAGCTAGTCTGTGCTCCTGAGCTCAGCTAGTCTGTGCTCCTGAGCTCAGCTAGTCTGTGCTCCTGAGCTCAGCTAGTCTGTGCTCCTGAGCTCAGCTAGTCTGTGCTCCTGAGCTCAGCTAGTCTGTGCTCCTGAGCTCAGCTAGTCTGTGCTCCTGAGCTCAGCTAGTCTGTGCTCCTGAGCTCAGCTAGTCTGTGCTCCTGAGCTCAGCTAGTCTGTGCTCCTGAGCTCAGCTAGTCTGTGCTCCTGAGCTCAGCTAGTCTGTGCTCCTGAGCTCAGCTAGTCTGTGCTCCTGAGCTCAGCTAGTCTGTGCTCCTGAGCTCAGCTAGTCTGTGCTCCTGAGCTCAGCTAGTCTGTGCTCCTGAGCTCAGCTAGTCTGTGCTCCTGAGCTCAGCTAGTCTGTGCTCCTGAGCTCAGCTAGTCTGTGCTCCTGAGCTCAGCTAGTCTGTGCTCCTGAGCTCAGCTAGTCTGTGCTCCTGAGCTCAGCTAGTCTGTGCTCCTGAGCTCAGCTAGTCTGTGCTCCTGAGCTCAGCTAGTCTGTGCTCCTGAGCTCAGCTAGTCTGTGCTCCTGAGCTCAGCTAGTCTGTGCTCCTGAGCTCAGCTAGTCTGTGCTCCTGAGCTCAGCTAGTCTGTGCTCCTGAGCTCAGCTAGTCTGTGCTCCTGAGCTCAGCTAGTCTGTGCTCCTGAGCTCAGCTAGTCTGTGCTCCTGAGCTCAGCTAGTCTGTGCTCCTGAGCTCAGCTAGTCTGTGCTCCTGAGCTCAGCTAGTCTGTGCTCCTGAGCTCAGCTAGTCTGTGCTCCTGAGCTCAGCTAGTCTGTGCTCCTGAGCTCAGCTAGTCTGTGCTCCTGAGCTCAGCTAGTCTGTGCTCCTGAGCTCAGCTAGTCTGTGCTCCTGAGCTCAGCTAGTCTGTGCTCCTGAGCTCAGCTAGTCTGTGCTCCTGAGCTCAGCTAGTCTGTGCTCCTGAGCTCAGCTAGTCTGTGCTCCTGAGCTCAGCTAGTCTGTGCTCCTGAGCTCAGCTAGTCTGTGCTCCTGAGCTCAGCTAGTCTGTGCTCCTGAGCTCAGCTAGTCTGTGCTCCTGAGCTCAGCTAGTCTGTGCTCCTGAGCTCAGCTAGTCTGTGCTCCTGAGCTCAGCTAGTCTGTGCTCCTGAGCTCAGCTAGTCTGTGCTCCTGAGCTCAGCTAGTCTGTGCTCCTGAGCTCAGCTAGTCTGTGCTCCTGAGCTCAGCTAGTCTGTGCTCCTGAGCTCAGCTAGTCTGTGCTCCTGAGCTCAGCTAGTCTGTGCTCCTGAGCTCAGCTAGTCTGTGCTCCTGAGCTCAGCTAGTCTGTGCTCCTGAGCTCAGCTAGTCTGTGCTCCTGAGCTCAGCTAGTCTGTGCTCCTGAGCTCAGCTAGTCTGTGCTCCTGAGCTCAGCTAGTCTGTGCTCCTGAGCTCAGCTAGTCTGTGCTCCTGAGCTCAGCTAGTCTGTGCTCCTGAGCTCAGCTAGTCTGTGCTCCTGAGCTCAGCTAGTCTGTGCTCCTGAGCTCAGCTAGTCTGTGCTCCTGAGCTCAGCTAGTCTGTGCTCCTGAGCTCAGCTAGTCTGTGCTCCTGAGCTCAGCTAGTCTGTGCTCCTGAGCTCAGCTAGTCTGTGCTCCTGAGCTCAGCTAGTCTGTGCTCCTGAGCTTAGATAGTCTGTGCTCCTGAGCTCAGCTAGTCTGTGCTCCTGAGCTCAGCTAGTCTGTGCTCCTGAGCTCAGCTAGTCTGTGCTCCTGAGCTCAGATAGTCTGTGCTCTTCTACCTCCTGTGCTTCTTAATGCCTTACATGCAGTACAATAACCGTAAAAAACTTAGAAGCAAGAAGCAGCTCGGGAAACCCAGCAGAATAAGGAGCGTTCAGCAAATCGTGAGCACGCCTCACCTGGTTGCTCTTCAGCAGCTCTTGAGGTGAGAGATCAAAGATGTCGAGCAGCAGAGGGCATGTGAGGCCGGGGGGTGCTGGGAAGAATGACACTCGAGTGGCAGATTTGCTCACTGGTGGACAGAGGGTGGGTAGGGGAGAATGGGGGGAGAGGAGTGGGAGAAGGGACAGAGGGGAGCGGGGGAGGGGGGGGAAAGGGGACAAAGGGCAGGGGGAGAGGTGGGGTAAAGGGGGAAACAGAGGGAAGCAAAGGGTAGAGTGGGAGAGAAAAGGCACAGTGAAGCAAGGGTTTAGGGTCCCGTAGTAATGGAGGGCATGTGAGGGGAGAGGAGTGCGACCGATGTCATGGGTACAAGGGGGATGAGGGGAGAGCAGAAGTAGAAGACGAGGCAGGGTAGAGCGAAAAGGTGAGTTCTCATGGCTTGCCAGAAGTGAGTTCTCATGGCTTGCCAGAAGTGAGTTCTCATGGCTTGCCAGAAGTGAGTTCTCATGGCTTGCCAGAAGTGAGTTCTCATGGCTTGCCAGAAGTGAGTTCTCATGGCTTGCCAGAAGTGAGTTCTCATGGCTTGCCAGAAGTGAGTTCTCATGGTTTGCCAGAAGTGAGTTCTCATGGCTTGCCAGAAGTGAGTTCTCATGGCTTGCCAGAAGTGAGTTCTCATGGCTTGCCAGAAGTGAGTTCTCATGGCTTGCCAGAAGTGAGTTCTCATGGCTTGCCAGAAGTGAGTTCTCATGGCTTGCCAGAAGTGAGTTCTCATGGCTTGCCAGAAGTGAGTTCTCATGGCTTGCCAGAAGTGAGTTCTCATGGCTTGCCAGAAGTGAGTTCTCATGGCTTGCCAGAAGTGAGTTCTCATGGCTTGCCAGAAGTGAGTTCTCATGGCTTGCCAGAAGTGAGTTCTCATGGCTTGCCAGAAGTGAGTTCTCATGGCTTGCCAGAAGTGAGTTCTCATGGCTTGCCAGAAGTGGGAGGCGGGAAAAGGATAATGCATGACAGACCAGAGGGTTTACTGCAGGTGAGAGGATAGGAGAAAATGGGAGTGGTAGGTGGGAGTATTGGAGATAATGGGAGTGGTGGGCGTGGAGGCGAGTATAGGAGTTCACGGGCGAGCACGGGAGTTCACAGGCGAGCACGGGAGGCTAAACTAATGAATGATCTCAATGGAGCCCCAGGTTGGAGCCATCACTTTCCGTGGCAACGACTTTGTTTGGTTAAAAAGTAGGTGGTGGTTTGCTTGAGTTACAAGGTAACCTTCAGTTAGGGAGAGGTTAGTGTACCTTGGTTGCAGGGTTGCTTGAGGGGGTTAGAGTAGTCAAGGGGGAAGAAGGCGGGCGGGCACAGGCACAAGGAGGAGGCATCATAGCTCTCCAGGCACACGCCAGGCGCACACGTGTCAGTGCTGTTAAGGCGACATATGGGGAACTCTGGAGGGACATTGAAAAGGTGGAGAGGAATTAAGAGAGGTTAGAGGCGATGAGATGGTAAGTGGGAAGGAACTACAGAGAGAACTACAGTGACTGGCGTGTGAAGCGATGAGATGGTCAGTGGGGAGTGAGGCTGCTAGCATCGCAGCCACATAGGTAAGTATCAGTAAAAGCAGAGAGGTAAGTATCAACGTGCTGGTTAACATCGCAGCCACAACGCTGTGCTGTGAAAGTTGAAGAGTTATGGATGTGGCAACATTGGAGGGGTTGCAGCTGCAATGGCTGAGATGAGAGGGCACGAGCTCGAGTTGATGAGACGTAATTTTAATCAGGATTTACCCTTGTCAATACCCTTGTGCACTAAGTGGTGATGGCTGCGTGGACTTACCATTATAACCTGCCAAGCTTACCGTTGAAGCATGTTTGGAAGGCGGGCATTTGGGAAAGCTTGTAGCTGGGCTGGCTGAGAGGGCACGAGCACGTGCTGGTGTATGTGCCTGTGGCTGCTGACCTCACCGCACTGCACCTGCCAGCACCGCATGGGTTCACGTCCCACGCCGTGCATGGGTTGACGTCTGTGTGGCATGGGGAGTGAGGAGAGGAGAGACAAGGAGAGACAAGGAGAGACAAGGAGAGACACGGAGAGACAAGGAGAGACAAGGAGAGACAAGGAGAGACAAGGAGAGACACGGAGAGACAAGGAGAGACAAGGAGAGACAAGGAGAGACACGGAGAGACAAGGAGAGACAAGGAGAGACAAGGAGAGACAAGGAGAGACACGGAGAGACAAGGAGAGACAAGGAGAGACAAGGAGAGACAAGGAGAGACAAGGAGAGACACGGAGAGACACGGAGAGACAAGGAGAGACAAGGAGAGACACGGAGAGACAAGGAGAGACAAGGAGAGACAAGGAGAGACAAGGAGAGACAAGGAGAGACACGGAGAGACACGGAGAGACAAGGAGAGACAAGGAGAGACACGGAGAGACACGGAGAGACAAGGAGAGACAAGGAGAGACAAGGAGAGACAAGGAGAGACAAGGAGAGACAAGGAGAGACAAGGAGAGACAAGGAGAGACAAGGAGAGACACGGAGAGACAAGGAGAGACAAGGAGAGACAAGGAGAGACAAGGAGAGACAAGGAGAGACAAGGAGAGACAAGGAGAGACAAGGAGAGACAAGGAGAGACACGGAGAGACACGGAGAGACAAGGAGAGACAAGGAGAGACACGGAGAGACAAGGAGAGACAAGGAGAGACAAGGAGAGACAAGGAGAGACAAGGAGAGACAAGGAGAGACAAGGAGAGACAAGGAGAGACAAGGAGAGACAAGGAGAGACAAGGAGAGACAAGGAGAGACAAGGAGAGACAAGGAGAGACAAGGAGAGACAAGGAGAGACAAGGAGAGACAAGGAGAGACAAGGAGAGACAAGGAGAGACAAGGAGAGACAAGGAGAGACACGGAGAGACAAGGAGAGACAAGGAGAGACAAGGAGAGACAAGGAGAGACAAGGAGAGACACGGAGAGACAAGGAGAGACAAGGAGAGACAAGGAGAGACAAGGAGAGACAAGGAGAGACAAGGAGAGACAAGGAGAGACAAGGAGAGACAAGGAGAGACACGGAGAGACACGGAGAGACAAGGAGAGACAAGGAGAGACAAGGAGAGACAAGGAGAGACAAGGAGAGACAAGGAGAGACAAGGAGAGACAAGGAGAGACAAGGAGAGACAAGGAGAGACAAGGAGAGACAAGGAGAGACAAGGAGAGACAAGGAGAGACAAGGAGAGACAAGGAGAGACAAGGAGAGACAAGGAGAGACAAGGAGAGACACGGAGAGACACGGAGAGACAAGGAGAGACAAGGAGAGACAAGGAGAGACAAGGAGAGACACGGAGAGACAAGGAGAGACAAGGAGAGACAAGGAGAGACAAGGAGAGACAAGGAGAGACAAGGAGAGACAAGGAGAGACAAGGAGAGACACGGAGAGACACGGAGAGACAAGGAGAGACAAGGAGAGACAAGGAGAGACAAGGAGAGACAAGGAGAGACAAGGAGAGACAAGGAGAGACAAGGAGAGACAAGGAGAGACACGGAGAGACAAGGAGAGACAAGGAGAGACAAGGAGAGACAAGGAGAGACAAGGAGAGACAAGGAGAGACAAGGAGAGACAAGGAGAGACACGGAGAGACACGGAGAGACAAGGAGAGACAAGGAGAGACAAGGAGAGACAAGGAGAGACAAGGAGAGACAAGGAGAGACAAGGAGAGACAAGGAGAGACAAGGAGAGACAAGGAGAGACAAGGAGAGACAAGGAGAGACACGGAGAGACACGGAGAGACAAGGAGAGACAAGGAGAGACAAGGAGAGACAAGGAGAGACACGGAGAGACAAGGAGAGACAAGGAGAGACAAGGAGAGACAAGGAGAGGATGATAGAGGAGATGAGAGGGGAGCAGGGCTGCTGAAGAAAGGAGTAGGAAGCATATGCAAACTTGGCATGCTCCATCACCGGCAATGCATGCTAAAACACCGGCAATGCATGATAATTTGGAATAGAAACAACCTCCAGTCACACAAAACTGTGAAATCAGAAGGTCCACGTTCGACGCACTTAAGAAACAATTACAAAACACACGTGAATCATGAATGCACACGAGCACATGCACACATACACACACACAACACTCACCCAGACCCTTCACACGCACACACCCAACCCATCACACACACCCGTGAATCGGAAGGTCCACGCTTTGATGGACTGAACACATGCCTGCGTGCTGGCACTGCTGAACCCAGCAAACACTGGAATCACTCCCTCAGTGGTGCTATTGCCATCATAGAACACAGAGCACAGGTCAAGACTCAGCTTCACTCTCCCCATCCTCGTAGCTCCTCTATAAGTCACTGCCTCTAGAGTCTTAGTGGCAGCTGTATAGTCCACCCTCATGCTGTACAACGAGGATGAAGTGTATCTCTTTTGAGACGAAGAAGCTAGCCGCCGTGTCACGTTAAAGTCAGTGTGAACGGAGAGAATCGCCACATCCTTGTTAACGTCACGGTTAGGGTCAAGGCCGCTAAAGGCATCAAACATCACCGCCACACTCCTCCCTCCATCCGCCCACGTCCCATTTGCATTCCTGTCTAATGAGTCACGCCCATACCCCATAGCCGCCCCTCCTTTCCCCACCCCCAGCCGAGTACTTAGCATGAAAACCACCCCGTATCCAAAAAATCCGCTTCCCTTGAGCTCAAAAGGAAACCACGAGGTGAAAGACCGAGCCTTGCACACAACTGCATCAGTTTTCCTACCCTTTTTCCCCTTGCGGGGAGGAGGAGGGGGGAGGAGCGAGAGTAGGGGCAGGGGGAGAGGGAAGAAGGCAGCGCCTGCCTCCTCCTCGTCGTTGCCTGGAGTGAGTTGCAGCGAGGAGAAGGTTTGGCGAGTGGAACCCAAGGTAGTGAAGCGGGTGCCTTGCGTGAGGAAGGGGAAGGAGAGCGATGGCGGCAGGCAGAGGGGAGGAGGCGCCGGCGCTGGCAAAGAGGCAGAAAAGGAGAGGAGGAGTGAACGAAAATAGGTTAGCTCACAAGCAGAGAGCGGCAGGACGGAAAAGGAAGAAAGGAGACGTGCTGAGGGCCGGCCCGTGGTTGGGCCGGCCTGGCAAAACGGGGAGGAGGAGCCGGCGCTGGGAGAAGGGGAGGTGAGCGTTTTGGGGGACAGGAGGAAGAGGAGGGAAACATAAGGGAAAGAGAGGAAACATCGTTGGAGGGAGGAAAGAGGGAAGGGGTATCACTCCCACATGCAAAGGCGGATGGGGATAATAGATAGGGGGGGAAACGGAGAGAAGAGCGGACGAAAGTGGGCAGAAGACACGTCGCACTTAATCAATCCTTGCCCCCCGCTCAATCAGTCGGTGGCTCTCTCTTGGCAAGCTGTAAACCTCCCCACGCAACTGCCCTTCCCGCTGCCACTCCAACGCTCACCTTGGGTGTCAACCTGGAAGGCCCAGGAGAGGATGTCGTGCGTCTGAGTGTGCAGCGGCAGCAGCCCCGTGCCGCCTGCAAACCCCGCATGCACCAACACGGCCTCCCCCTCCCCGCCGTCCTCCTTTGGAGCGGAGTGAAAGAGATCGCAGGCGTTGAAGGGGAGGGAGAGGAGGGCGGAGGGGGGCATGGCGGGCGAGGAGGAGAGGCTCACAGAGAGCAGCAAGGCGGTGGCGTTGTAGGCCACCCATGCATGCAGCGTCTCGTTCTTGTTGCCGCCCAGCGAGGCCATGCCCGCGGGGTGCACAGACGCATGGCCTGCTGACGTCATGCTGTAATCCACGTTTATTCCCACGTGGTGAGTGGTTAAGTCCGAAAACAGACGGGTTGATGACGTGTCAAACTCCACTGCCAGGCTGTGCTGATGTGGTAGGCTGCTGTTATACGTGATGCCACTGCCGCTGCTGCTGCCAATCGGAGTGCATACAAAGGCCCCGATCACTACCACACATTCCTCTTCCCCTATCACCCCACCTCCAAGTCCCCCCCCATCTGCAGCCACAAACACCTCTTCCTGGCTGTAAGGCCTTCTGCCGTATCCCATGTTTGGCCCGGGCAGCCCGACGGTCGGGTCGGGCAGGAGAACGAAGGCTAAGCCGTCGGCCCCGAGAGCAGCGGGGTGGGGGGAGGAGAGGCGGAAGGAGAAGGAGGAGGAGAAGGAGTAGGGGCGGCAGGGGGAGGTGGGGGTGGCGGGGGAGACGAGGGGGAAGGGCGTGGGGTGCAGGGCAAGGCCCGCTTGGTGGGGCGGAGAGAGAGGGGTGAGGCGTAGGGAGGAGGGGAGGAGGCGGGCCGAACCGGAGGTGAGGAGGGGAGAGGAGGAGGTGAATGGGGAGTGGGAGAAGGACGGAGGGGCGGAGGCTGCTGGAATTTGAGGGGAGGAGGGAGGGACAAAAAGGCTGAAGGGAAGGGAAGAGTGAGCTGAGCAGCATAGACAATGTGAACAACATAGTTAATGTTCAAAGGAGAGAAAGAGCTCCAAAGACATAGACACCAAGGTATGTAACGTCATGCAGAAAAGGTATATAACCTCATGCAACAATGTATGTAACCCCTTAAAACAAGGTATGTAACCAAATGACACAAAGTATGTAACCTCATGAAACAAGGTACGCAGAGGGGCGACTCATCCAAGGGTTGCTCGTGCGTGCATCGACTGAACAGAAGCGTCATCAAGAACCTGTGGGCCGTGGCTGTGGTCCCACGCAAGAAGCGCACCTGTGCCTCGGGAAGCCACCGTGACCAGGTCGATGTCTATGTTCCCTGCTGCCGCTGCAGCGGACGTGAGCGCTCCGCCTTCCACTGCTGCTGCTGCTGCTGCCTTTGCAGCCAATGGAACAGCTCCTGACGCGGACGCATCTTCAGTCACTGCCGCATCTCCAGTCACAGACGCATCTCCAGTCACAGACGCATCTCCAGTCACAGACGCATCTCCAGTCACAGACGCATCTCCAGTCACAGACGCATCTCCAGTCACAGACGCATCTCCAGTCACAGACGCATCTCCAGTCACAGCCGCATCTCCAGTCACAGCCGCATCTCCAGTCACAGCCGCATCTCCAGTCACAGCCGCATCTCCAGTCACAGCCGCACCCCCTGGCACAGACGCACCCCCTGGCACAGACGCAGCTCCAGGCACGGACCCACCCCCCAACGACCCACCCCCAGGCAGGGACCCACCCCCAAACGACCCACCCCCAGGCACGGACGTGTCTCCGGGAGCGGGCACCCAGATGCTGCCACCCGAGCCCATGCCGCTGACGTCCGCCCCACTGCCCTCGAGCAGCACGAGGTGCAGAGCCACGCCTTGCGGCGGGAAGGAGAGAGCAGCGGCGGAGGCTGAGGAGGGTGGGAGGTGGAAGGAGAAGGGCCCGTGCTGGCGCCAGGGCAGCAGGCCCGAAAGAGAGTTGGAGTTGTTATTGAGGCAGGGCACGCCGATGGTCCATCGATGCAGCACCACCATCTCTCCGCTGTGCATGCCTGCTGCTAACGCAATGCCCAACTCTCCCTCGTCCATGCTGCTGCCAGTGCTGCCGGCGGTGGCAGTGGCTGGCGATGGTGGTGGCAGGGGCACGGCGACGATCATTGCTCGCATCGGCCGCAATCCAGAGGCAGAAAACGGATCCATCTTACACTCGCGAGCCCTTGCATAGAAATACAGCGAAAACTCTGCCTCCTCCTGCTGCTGCTGCGGCTGCTCCGACCCTTCCGCGACACACAGCAGCTGCCCCAGACCCTGCACCGGCCACACTGCCCCTTCCCTCTCGCTCGCCCCGCTGCCCCAAAGCTCGCCACCGGTGCCGCCACTGCCGTCGCTGGGCTGCAGGCGAACGAACCGACCGCCCTCAGCAGCCACGGACGGGTCCCCGGGGGGGGGCTCCCCTCCTCCTCCCCCTACCCCTCCCCCTCCCCCTACCCCTCCCCCTACCTCTCCCCCCTCCCCCGCCACCTGCCCTGCTGCGCCGGGGACGAGTGGCACCCAGGACGACAGGAGCGAGGGCCAGCCTGCTGCATCGGAAAACTCCTCGAAGCCCGCATTGCGCAGGAGGTTCAACGAGGGAGCTGGGGGCGGTGGGACGGGAGGAGGGGAGGGCGGAGGGGTGGGAGGAAGATGGGGTTGGGGGGGAGGGAGGGAGGGTGGGGGGGGATGATGGAGGGGGACAATAAGGGGGGCGGGAAATGTGACGAGATATCGAATGCAGCTGTGGGGGCGGGACAATCAACGGGAGAAAAAGGAGTGGGGGAAAAGGAGGTGACAGATACATCTGACAGGGGAGGTGGGGAGCAGCAATTGGGCCGGGGGAAAAGAGGGAGAGAGGGATGGGAAACGGGGTTAGTGCAGCAGATGGGCGGAGGGGGTAGAGCGGAGGCGTAGAAGCGGAAGGCTCCGTGGCATGGAAGGCGGAAGAGACGCGATCATAATGCGATGACCGCTCTCAGAAGGCAGAGGCGATGCCGTCATTTGCTGCGCGGCTGGCGGAATTGGTTGGGTGTGTGTGGCTATCGGCGAAAAATGGAGCGAAATGCGGGTAATAATCTCGGCGATCTTCTCATTGTCGATTGGTTACTTCGGGGATTGGCCATTTTAACTATAATGACCATCTTTTTTCAACGATCGGATCGGTACCTTCAAACTCCCTGCGCGGCCCATTGGATCCTCTGCCACTGCGCAAGAATCAGTACCTTGAGCTGCGAGGCTAGCGCATGTTGGCACGGCAGCGTTGGTGACGGCGACGAGCGAGAGGAGGTGCGCGGTCACCACAAACACGCGAAGAACGACGCCGGTGAGACAGCCTGGACTCCTGATGCCATGTGGAGCCTGCCAATTGGAGACATACTTCGGGTTGCCACCGAGTACTAGGGACGCTGACTCACTACTATAGAATGACCTGATATAAGTAGCGGATGTTCGGTTCGCATGTGGCATGGAGAAAAGCGCCGCGAGAGCGGGCCGCGGCGATTGCGAGGAAAGAGGAGAAGGAGCGAAGGTGATGGCAGCATCGCGGGACAGTTGAGACTTCTAGAGGTGTCTACGGTTTCGAAACGAAATCCCCACTGCTGTCCTGTATCTAACCACCCTAACAAGAGGGCGCAGGCAAGCTGGGCCAGGGCTCTGAACTGGGTGTTGGAGCGGAACATACGGCTAATAGCAGTCCAACTCGAACTCTAACCACGCTGCACCACGCCTTTATCTGACGAAAACGCTTCAAACTGCTTTGCACCTTTCTGAACTTCGAGATTTGAGCTATAGTTGTTCAGTGGATGGCTGCTACGGGCAACTGAGATTGGTTTACTCGATTGCACGTTGCAATTTGCAAACCATCGTGATCGCCTGAGGGAGCAGTTGTGACCGGTGAAGGGAGGGAAGGGAACGAGGAAGAGTCGAGTTGAGGGGGTTTTGTGGCAGAGAGCAGCCGAACGGCTGCTTGCGTCGCGCGAATGCTGGAGTTAGGTTGGGTGAAACCGGGTTTTTGAGACTGGTTGATGGACAGACTGAACGGCATGCTGCCTGCCAGACTGGCGCGTTGATATTGTTGAAGGTCAACGCCTGGGTAGCGGTTTCCGCTGGTTTGAAACAAAGTGCAAGAGCTGCATTTTGATGCTATTTTAAATAGTTGGTTATACACCCGAGGCCATATAAAGATGGGTGTACACTCACCCAATGAATCAGAGAGCCCAAAATGGAAACGGGGGCTAAAATCGCTCATTTTGACTATGCGTGTGCTTTGTTTTTTACGAGCAGGCGGGCTAAAGGACTGGCATGAGAAACAGGTGGGCTGGGGGACGGGACGAGATAGACAGGTGGGCGGGCCGAGGTAGCAAGAGAGCAAAACTGGGGCCAGAGCAGGGCTGATTTTATCAGGGTAATTACCCTGATTTTAGGGTGATTTCAGACTTTCCACTTTGCGGAGACTGAGATTTCAGAATTATTAGAATGGACTAAGATACTAGCGGAAGCTTTAGTAGTCTTAGAACCTCCTTGTAAAGCCTAGGAATCCTAGGAGCCCACTTGGGCATGAACCATGCTAGAACCAAAGTGGTTTCCAAAAGTGAAATGCCAACAAGAGAGAACCCTAACCTATAGGGTTTGGGAGGTGGTCCACTCTAAAGAGTGTACACCACAAGTTCTCCCAACCCAACCAATGTATTCTACACTACCATAGTGTAGATGTACCACTACATATGTTTATTGGAGCAACCCGAATTAACCTTAATTCCAACACCCCCCCTTGCTCCAATAAGCATTAAAGTTCACCCATAAATCAAAATACAACCCCTCCAGCGAATGAAGCCTTGGCCTTCGCAGCAATCACTCGCATGCCGATGCGCTCCAGGTTCTCATGCAGCTGCAAGCTTGGAAGAGCTTTGGTGAGCATGTCGGCATCCTGGAGGTGGGAGCGTACTGAGTGCACCTCGACCTCCTGCTGGCGCACCGCATCCCGTACAAAGTGCCATGCCACCTTAATGTGCTTGGTGCGCTGATGGAGAACGGGATTGTGGGCAAGGGAGACAGCTGCCTCATTATCACAGAGCAATGGAATAGCCCCCCCATCCCCCACATGCATCTCTGCCAACAGACTCCTCAACCAAATGGCCTCCTTGGCCCCCTCCGATAGAGCTTTGTACTCAGCTTCAGAAACGCTTGCTGCAACACTGTCTTGCTTTTTGCTATACCAGCTGATTGCTCCTCCTCCCAGCTTAAAGATGTAGGCAAAGCGACTCTTGCCATCAGTCTCACCACCCCAATCCGAGTCTGTGTACCCGACAACCTGCTCACCACCTTGGCGCTCATACCTGATGACACGATCAGCTGTGTCGACCAAGTACCTGAGTGCTCTCAGTGCAGCGCGCATGTGAATGCGTCTTGGTGCCACGCAGGACTGTGCAAGGGTGTTGACAGTGAAAGACATGTCAGGACGGGTGGTCACAGCAGCATACATCAAGCTGCCAATGAGACTCTGGTACACCTTGACATCAGCTGCAACACCTTCCTCAGTAGACCAAGTACCATTCCTGATCTTAGAGAGGTCATTGGGTGACATTGGAGTATGCACCCTATGGGTCTCCTTCAGCAGATCACCAAACCTTCCCTGGAGACCACGGACATACTTCTTCTGACCAATCTCCAACCACCCATCCTTGACCGACCTGCGAACCTCCACACCAAGGTACATGGATACCTCACCTAGATCCTTCATCTGGTACCTCTGAGCAAGCACCTCCTTGACCTGACCGATCAGCTCCAAGCGTGGAGACACAAGCAAGAGGTCATCCACATACACCAATACATACACTGGCTCTTCATCCACAAACCTGATGTACAGAGCCTCATCACATGCACTGCGGTCAAACCCTGCTGCAATCAAGGTGGTACCAATCTCCTCATTCCAAGCACGAGGCGCTTGCTTGAGCCCATAGAGAGCTTTGCGCAAGCGATGCACCCTACCTGTACCATCATCAAATCCCTCAGGTTGCCTCACATACACTTCCTCTTGAAGGAGTGCATTGAGGTAAGCATGATCAACATCCTCCTGTTGTACATGCCACCCTTTTACCGCGGCTTCTGCAAGAAGCACCCGACCTGAGGTCAGCTTGCCCACAGGGGCAAATACCTGATTATAGTCCTTCTCAGGCTCCTGAGTGTACCCCTTAGCAACAAGGCGAACCTTGTGCTGTACCACCTTATCCTCCTTGTCAGTTTTCCTGCGGAAAACGTACCGGACCCCAATGGCCTTCTTACCTGGAGGTAAGTCAACCGGCTCTGGATCCCATACACCCATAGTGCGCATTGCATTTACCTCCTTCTCAGCGCCTGCCTTCCACGCAGGGCCCTCAGGGCCACGCAGGGCCTCAGCGAGTGTGCGTGGGACATCACCTGTGCTCACACCTGCCAGTGCAACACCTTCCACCTCCCTGGCCAAACATAGCATGCCCTCAACCACACCAGCATCCCCCCCTACCTCCTCACCACCTGTACCAGACTGGATACCAAGCACCTGCAAACCCGTAACCGGTGGTGGGGAGGTAGTCGCTGGTGACGGAGGGGCACCCGTAGAGAGAGGGATAGAGCGCTGACCAGAGGAGGAGGAAGAGGAAGTAGCCTGTGTAGCGGATCTCCGCTGAATGACCGAGGGGCCACTGAGCTGCTGCAGAGGGGTGGGCTGCTGCTGCACCGACAGACTCAGCGGTGCCGGTGGCAGTGGTGAAAGTGGCATCTCAACGTCGTCAGCCGTTGCTGAGGGTGGCGAGAGTGGAAGAGGGAGGAGTTGGGAAATTGCAGCTGCATCCTGCAGAAGCTCCCCAAATTCCTTTGCCTTGTCCCAATCCTTCCACATCACATTCTCAAGGAAATCAACATCCCGAGCAATGCGAATGCGCATGATAGAAGGGTCCAGCATGCGCCAACCCTTGCTCTCCATGTCCACCCCAACACAGACACACATGACAGCCCGTGCATCAAGCTTGCCACCCTTCTCATGCCCATGCAACATGACACTCCCCATGCAACCCCAAATCCGAGCCATGCCCACATGCGGCTTCTGGCCGGACCACGCCTCCATTGGTGTGATGGAGGCAGGCAAAGCACTGTGGGTGACCCTGTTCTTAACCCACACGACCCACATCAATGCTTCACCCCACAAGCGAGCAGGGAGACCACTGTCGACCAACAATGTGCGAATCCCCTCTGCCATCGTCCTGTGCCACCTCTCCACAACCCCATTCTGTTGTGGTGTATCTGCGACGCTCAATTGAGTTTTAATGCCAAACTCCGCCTTCCATGCTTTTACAGCTTCCCCCAAGAACTCGCCACCCCTGTCCGAGCGAACAGCCTTCAGCTTCCGCCCACACTCCAACTCCACGTCCTTATGCCACTGGCGAAGGACTTTTGCAACTATGGCCGATTCCTTGTTGGGGAGGGGGAACGACCAAACTCGTCTGGTGAAATCGTCAATGAGACTGAGGACATACACCGCTCCTCCCAGTGATGGTGTGCGCACCGGCCCCCACAAATCCATGTGGACCTCATCCAAAGGCCCAAGTGCCCGGGACGCCTCATGGGGAAACGGCTTCCGAGCCGACTTTCCCAATAAGCAGGGCTCACATGGGGAAAAATCAGTGTTCCCCCCCCCAATCTCCAAGCCCAGTACACTGTTCCCCCGAGCCATCTGTTGCAATGTTGTGGGGGCGGTATGACCAAGGCGGCGATGGGCAAGGGTCAATGGGGAAAATGAGGAGGACGACTTAGCTGCAAGAGCACTGCCCTGTGTGCCCTGAGCAAGAGGAAGAAACATCCGCACCAATCCATGGTCCCTTCCCCTCTCCTTTTCTCCAATCGCCAACACCCGCTCCCCCCGTTGAAGGACACATCTCTTGCCTTTGAATGTGACAATGACATCTCGAGAGGTGAGGTGTGGGACTGACAGCAGACGCGTGTGCATCTCAGGCACAAGGTGGACCTTTTGAATCCTCAGCAGCTGACCTCCAGCACCAACCACTGGCACCTCACCCATGCCAACAGCTTTCACCACCCGTCCATCTCCCAATCTAACTCCCCGAACCTCTAGTGGTTGAAGCTTACTTTTGAAGTCCGATGCATAAGGAGTAAAGTTGTGGCTGGCCCCACTGTCAATCCACCACCCCTCTCGCGGCTGCTCCTCTCCCACTGTTGCAACTGCTTCTCCAACCACTGCCTCTGCCTTGTCATCCTGCTCCTCCTCATCCGCCACCTGTGCCTTGCCGTTGGACCCACGACCCCCCCGCTGTAAGAATGCCGGAATGCCTCCCTTAGATCGATGAGGACATCGCTGCCATGCATGTCCCTCATCCCAACAGCCATGACACAACCCCCGAGGAGCCATGCCCTTGGACCCCCAAGGGAAATCAAGCACTCCCGCTTTGCCTTTCCATTGACCCCATCTGCCCGAGTTGGTGTCACTGCTGCTACCGCTGTCTCCATGCTTTCCTCCCTTGACCCAATTTCCCCTGCCGCTGCTGCCCACTTTCGTACCCGCTCCAAATGTGGCTACACCATCCGATCTTGGTGCGACACCAATCCGCATCTCCTCGCTCCTCAAGGAGGTAAGCAGCTGATCCTTAGTGAGCGATGATGACTGGTTGTTCAACACCACCTTCAGCATCTCAAAGTGAGGAGGTAGTCCTTTGAGTATCCTCATCATCCACTCCTCAACCTCCTCCTTTCCTCCTGCAGCCAAGTACTTGGACCTCAAGTCCTCGGCACGCGCCCAGTATGCAGCCACCCCCTCCCCCTCTTTCATCTTCAATGAAGAGAGCTCCTCAGAGAGTGCCATCCGGTTACACAATCCACGCTGAAGGTAGAACTCCTTCACTCGTATGTATGCCGCTGCTGTGCCTGCAGGAATTCGGGTGACCGCTCTTGCTCCGCCATCAACAGGTGCGCTGCCCAACTCGGTCTTGCCGCCGAACTCCCGTACCAAGCGAATTAGCTCATCTGGCACCAAGGCATTGCAGAATTGAGCGAATGCCTTCTGATTTTTTCTCTCCCACTTCAGCCGTGCGTCACCCGATGCAGGCCGCTCCTCCGAACCATCAAAGTACCCCCATAGATCGTGTGCCTCTGCCCATTGTTCGAATCGGAAGCTCCAAGTCCAATAGTCGCTCCCGTCGAACTTAGGCGTACTCTCCAGCTTCCCTTCACCTGAGTCATGATCCATTTGCGGCAGACACTCTGGAGATTGACGTTGAGGTGGTGGTGGAGGCAACGGCGGCGGTGGTGGAGACGATGTGGACAGATTTGCCCCCTCTTGGTTTTTGGAGCGTAACTCCGCGCTCGAACCTCCGAATGATGAGCCGTTTGTCTCAGATGAATCTTTGCTTCAAGACCGTTCCGATGATGTATCGCGCTCCTGAATCCCGCTTCCAAGCTGTCCGCTTAAACTCGTCGAAGTTGGCCGATTTCCCGTCAACGAAGACTCAACCGTTTCTCCCGATTTTTGGCTTGTTGGATGCGCCCTGGCCTCCTCTATCGGCGTCTGGCCTCCAATTTTTTTTCCGCGCTTTAAATCTTCCCCGATTCGCGATTTTCCAATTCGTCCGCCGGCAGTTTTTCGCGAATTGCGTCCGATCCCCTCGTCGATTGGTGACGATCTTGAGGCAATTGTTGTAGAGCGTGCTGAGACCTTTCCAACGGTATGCTGCACGTCTTGATCGGCTAAAGTTGACTGAGCGCCTCCGTGGATGGATGCCGCTCTTCTCGTCCTCCCAAACGGATCTACACGATTTCCAGCAGTTTTCTTCTCTCCTCCTTCCCTCCCACGTCCAGAGTCCGCCACGGTGCAATTTCGGCAGCCCTTCGGGAGGAATGGAAGCTAACTAGCTTCCACCAAGATCTTATGGTCCAATGTCTTGAGTAACTCCTTTTCCAACAGATTGCTAGGCCTTCCTTGCTCTGATACCATATTAGAATGGACTAAGATACTAGCGGAAGCTTTAGTAGTCTTAGAACCTCCTCGTAAAGCCTAGGAATCCTAGGAGCCCACTTGGGCATGAACCATGCTAGAACCAAAGTGGTTTCCAAAAGTGAAATGCCAACAAGAGAGAACCCTAACCTATAGGGTTTGGGAGGTGGTCCACTCTAAAGAGTGTACACCACAAGTTCTCCCAACCCAACCAATGTATTCTACACTACCATAGTGTAGATGTACCACTACATATGTTTATTGGAGCAACCCGAATTAACCTTAATTCCAACAAGAATTACTGAGTTCTCAACCCTGTTCAAATCAGAGTAGTAATTTTCCTATCCCTGATTTTGAGTAAAGTGTAACAGACTATCCTGTTAGTGGACCCTGACTTAATAGGATATCGAATCTGTGGTCCCTGATTTTGACCTTATCGAGAGGAAGGTTCTTGGAAATTTTCTCCCAATATCCCGCTTCGGTTTGATCGCAGTACAGCCAGCGCATGAGCGATGGACAGCAGCATGTCGGACAGGCGAATACGCTCTATGTTTGTTATTTTCACGAAATGCGAATAAGTTGTTCCACTGTCGTAACTGCGTGTGCGTTAAATTTCTAGAACCTATTTTGCGTTTCGCACAGCGATCTTGGCCACATTCAGGTATCGAATCGAAATGCTTGGTTGAGCGAAATCGCTCATCTCTTCCCCCCACTAAAACGTGTGCACAAATACCATTTTGTAACACCATAAAGGTGGAAATTAGCGCACTCAAAGTGTGCACGAAACACAGAGCGCAAACTTTACGCAGAGGGAGACTTTTTCCCCTCTAACAAAGGACGCGTTACTACTCTGATCCTCGATTTTCGACCCTGAACAATCAGAGTTATATACTTATCAACCCTGAGCAATCAGAGAAGCATTATTCTGAAAAATGTGCACTCATAATAGAGGGGAATTTTTTTCCCCGGAATCAGGGAGGCCTAATATGAAACATCAGCCCTGGGCCAGAGGTGAAATCCACCATATTAGAGGGTACAAATCAGGGTGCGCTCTGGCTGATGCATCAAGCTGAGCATCAACAAAAGCATGTCTGGTTACAACGATATGGTTAATGCCTCATTATGGTAAGCATACTTGCATCCCTACCCACAACGACGAGACAGTACAGTCAAACCCGTCATTGAGTGACCGGAAAAGGCCCACTTTCCGCTTGTATCGAGACGCAATTAGCTTGCCGCATGTGTCTCCTCTCTTCACGAGGTAGAAGCGTTTAGTCACACATTGCATCCCTCCATAGCCTGACGCCTCATTCGATAGCAAGCACACCTGACGTGGAGAGTGAGAAGGGGAGAGAGGAGAGAAAAAGGAGGCAGGGTTGAGTCACACATTGCATCCCTCCATAGCCTGACAGCTCATCCACGAGCAAGCACACCTGGCGTGGGGGGTGAGAAGGTAAGAGAAGGGAGAGAAGGGAGGCAGCGATGAGTCACACACTGCATCCCTCCATAGCCTGACAGCTCATCCGCGAATAAGCACACCTGGCGTGGGGGGTGAGAAGGTAAGAGAAGGGAGAGAAGGGAGGCAGCGATGAGTCACACAATGCATCCCTCCATAGCCTGACAGCTCATCCGCGAGCAAGCACACCTGACATGGGGGGTAAGAAAGAAAGGAGTACATTATGGTTGAAGCCAATGAATAAGTTCACACAGGTTTGCTTGAACCATAATAGTTCAGACACACAATCACGATAAAAAAAACAGTGGTCACGTAAGCCTTGCAACAGCTGCAGAATTGCTTGGACGAAAATCAGGATGTGCGGTTGTCAAGGCCATCGGCAGATAACAGAAATGGTGTAGGCACACTCTGTATGGAGGATACGACCAGTCCAGGCAGCAACACCATGTATCAGATGGTTGCAAAAACAAACCAGGTAGAGTCGAACGCATTTCAGAAGGCTTCAAACAGGTGAACAGAAACCACACGCGCAAGTAATAAATAACCACTCACTCACCTTGTCGACAACAGAGTCCGCCCACCCAGCAGCATTGGGCAGCAGGTGGTCGCAGTAGAGCGCGGGGTTGACGCGGAAGAGCTTTGCGATGCTCATGATGTGCCATCCAAGGCGCAGCGTGGCGAGCTTCTGGCACGTGTGCACGGTGGAGTCGAGAGTCTTATAGAGGTTGCAGGCCGCCACCGGGGAGGAGGGGTACCTTGAGTTGTTCTCCACACACACGCGCTGCAGGGAGGAGTGGGATGAGGGGGATGGGGAGGGGAGAGTGAGGTGAAATCCAATAAAAAGCGCATCAAGCTTCTGACACGAGTGCACGGTGGAGTCAAGAGTCTAGTTTAAGTTGCAAGCCGCCACTGGGGAAGAGGGGGACCTGTTTTGAGGCGCCTCAAAAGTACTCTGTTATAAGTTGCTTGCAGGCCGCCCCTGGGGAAGAGGGGGACCTGGCATTGTTCTCCACACACACGCGCTGCAGGGTCGAGAGGGATGGAGGGAAGAGGGAGGGGAGGGGGCGGTGTTGAGGTGCCATCTAGCACGAAGCGTGGCGAGCTGTGGCACGTGTGCACGGTGGAGTCGAGAGTCTTATATAAGTTGCAGACGGCCACCGGGGAGGAGGGGTATCTGGAGTTGTTCTCCACACACACGCGCTGCAGGGAGGACGGGGATGAGGGGGAGAGGGAGGGGAGAGGGCGGTGTTGGTGCCATCCAGGGCGCAGCGTGGCGAGCGCCTGGCACGTGTGCGCGGTGGAGTCGAGAGTCTTACATAAGTTGCAGGCCGCCATCGGGGAGGAGGGGTACCTGGCATTGTTCTCCACACACACGCGCTGCAGGGTGGAGAGGGATGAGGAGGAGAAGGAGGGAGACGGCCGCGTTGAGGTGAATTCAGGGCCTTCTGGGCTCCTGAGCTACCTGAGACACATACTTGTGACACAACCTTTTTTTTTTGCTAGACAAATTGGATTTTGAAGGCTGGCTGAAACATGGCCTGAACGACTAAAGTGAGCTGCTTGAGGTAACAAGCTTCAGAGATGACACAAAGAGAGAGCAGAAAAATCTGTGAGGGTTTCAGAAGGGAATAAAACAAGAACTGACCTTTCCAGGTATGATAAGTTGTGAGCAGTTTATGTTACGGTTCAAGTCTGTTATGTTGGTCCCCATGAGGCTGTTGATTGACGCGCATGTGTCATCCTGGGGTGAGTGGAATGGCGTGAGGGTCAGGGAAGGAGGTGGGAAGAAACGAATGCAACTTGCAACTTGGCGCAACATGCATCGATTTCACCAATCCTAGCCCAATTCTAGTTTGGTATTCTACTCAAATCTCTTCTTCAATAACCTTATTTCCTCCCTTTTATCTCTCCTAGCGATGCTAATTCTTTCAACCTGGTGGGTGCTGCACATGCCTCACCTGGTGGGTGCTGCACATGCCTCACCTGGTTGGCGGTATACATGCTGGTGCAGCTCTTGTTAGCAGATGCCGAGACGTTGACTGTCAACCCACGAGGTATGGGCTTGTGGCATGCCAAGCCCTGCCAGGACCGATGCAACAACACGGCATTAATTGATCAAACTGGCCAGGATACAAAAATTTGGGTTAACTAGAATAGAATGCTTCCGGTTCTGCCAGTGGAATAATTTCAGAACAACACAACGCAATTAATCAACAAAGTGAGAATGCGGGATTGCCTAATACACCTCACCAGCACGCCTCACCTCATCAGCACGCCTCACCTCATCAGCACGCCTCACCTCATCAGCACGCCTCACCTGGTTGCTCTCCAGCAGCTCTTGAGGTGAGAGGTCAAAGATGTCGAGCAGCAGAGGGCATGTGAGGCCGGGGGGTGCTGGGAAGAATGGCACTCGAGTGGCAGATTTGCTCACTGGTGGTGAGAGGGGAGCGAAGTTGTGGAGGGTAATTGGGGGTTGTTGGAGAAGTAGGAGAAGTACAAAGTTGATGCTGGGAGAGAAAGTGGCACCGGTAGGAGCCAAGGTAGCATTTAGGTGGACCTTACCAGCCAAAGTCACGATACACCGACTGAATAATATTCTTCAACTCTATAGGTCAGTTAGTGGTCACTTTGTGAAGCTATTCATGGGCGCTTTATGAGACTAGAGTCGCACCTGGGTTACAGGGACGCCTCAGAGGGTTAGAGTAGTGGAGGGGGAAGAAGGAGGGCGGGCAGAGGCAGAAGGAGGAGGCATCATAGCCCTCCAGGCACACGCCAGGCGCACACGTGTCAGTGCTGTTAAGACGACATGCGGGGAACTCTGGAGGGACAGTGAAAAGGTGGAGAGGAATTTAGAGAGGATAGGGGTGATGAGATGGTAAGCGGGAGGAAAATACAGAGTACTACAGTGAATGGGGTGGAAGGCAATGAAATGGTACGTGGGGAGTGAAACGGTTAAAAGTGCAGCCACTTAGCTGGTGAAAGCGGAAGGAATTATCAATATGCTGGTTGATTGATTGTGCTGTGTTATGAACGTTGGAGTTTTGGATGTGGCAGAATTTGAGGGGGTTGCAGCTGCAATGGCTGAAATGAGAGGGCACGAGCTCGAGTTGATGAGACGAAATTCTAATCAGGATTTACCCTTGTCAATACCCTTGTGCACTATGTGGTGATGGCTGCGTGGACTTACCATTATAACCAGCCAAGCTTACCGTTGAAGCATGTTTGGAAGGCGGGCATTTGGGGGAGCTTGTAGCTGGGCTGGCTGAGAGGGCACGAGCACGTGCTGGTGTATGTGCCTGTGGCTGCTGACCTCACCGCACTGCACCTGCCAGCACCGCATGGATTCACGTCCCACGCCGTGCATGGGTTGACGTCTGTGCGGCATGGGAAGTGAGGAGAGGAGAGACAAGGAGAGACAAGGAGAGACAAGGAGAGACAAGGAGAGACAAGGAGGAGAAGATGATGGACGAAAGAGGAAAAGGGCTGAACAGAGGAGCAAGAAGGGTATGAAAACATTATGATTGGAGTGGAATCACTAGTTGAGTGAAGTGAATACATGGATGCATTGTTCCCTCTTAGCGATTCAATTCAAACGCATGCATGCATTTTGTGGTGCAGGCACAATCAGTCACTGATAATGAATTATAATTGCGAGCATATGATCTATGTTGGAGAAAAACGCTCAGCGCAAGAAAAGAATGTTAGCGTGTATCCGGAGATTCGTGATATGCGGTATGCTCGGTTAGGCAGCCCGTCTGAAAAAAGAAAGTGTGTACAAATTGCACAAACCCAAATGTCGACTGCAACTGTATTTCCCCTTAGTACCATACTGTTCTTTTCCAACATAGCATATTCTCACAAATGTGGCACATGGACATTGGGAACAAAGCAAGTGTGCATGTGCAGACAGACAAAGATGAACAGATGCATGGCTCTACAGGCGCAGATGCATTCAGGCACACACACCTGAGAAATCAAAAGATACATGCTTCAATGGCCCGGACACAACACATACACTTTCGAGCCACAGATGCACACATTCACACACAGACGCATGGCACTCACCGAACCGTTCATACGAACCTGTGAATCGAAACGTCCACGCTTTGATGGACTGAACACACGCCTGCGTGCTGGCACTGCTGAACCCAGCAAACACCGGAATCACTCCCTCAGTGGTGCTATTGCCATCATAGAACACAGAGCACAGGTCAAGACTCAGCTTCACACTCCCCATCCTCGTAGCTCCTCTATAAGTCACTGCCTCTAGAGTCTTAATGGCAGCCGTATAGTCCACCCTCATGCTGTATAACGAGGATGAAGTGTATCTCTTCTGAGATGAAAAAGCCAGCCGCCGTGTCACGTTAAAGTCAGTGTGAACGGAGAGAATTGCCACATCATTGTAAATGGCATAGTTAGGGTCAATGCCGCTAAAGGCATCAAACATCACCGCCACACTCCTCCCTCCATCCGCCCACGTCCCATTCGCATTCCTCCCTTGCGCATCCCTCCCATACCCCATACCCGCCCCTCCTTGACCCACCCCCGGCCGAGTACTTAGCACGAAAACCACCCCAAAGCCATTACCGCCACTCGCCTTGAGCTCAAAGGCAAACCAGGAGGTGAAGGAGCGAGCTCTGCACACCACAGGGTCATTAGAGGGCTTAGAGAGCCCCACTCCCCTTGCGCGGTTCCTCCCCTTGCGGGGCGGAGGAGCGGGGAGGAGCGAGAGCAGGGGCAGGGGGAGGGGGAAGAAGGCGGCGCCTGATTCGTGGTCCTGGTTGCCCGGAGTGAGTTGCAGCGAGGAGAAGCCGAGGCGAGCTGCACCCGAGGCAGTGAAGGGTGCGGCTGGCGTGAGGAAGGGCAAGGAGAGGGACGGCGGCTGCCACACGGGGAGAGGCGCCGGCGCTGGAATGGGGGAAGGGTATTTTATGGGGAAGTAGGAGGGAGAGAAGGAAAACATAAAGGGAAAGTGAGCAGGGCAGCACACAGAGCCGACACAACCAACAGTGGAGTGGCTGAAGAGGAGTTGAGGGAGTGGAAAGGATGAACGTTTTCAACCGTTTCATCGACTCTTGGATTTCTCTTGACTTTGTTGGAGGAGCACTTGGATTGACCTAAGGTCCTGGGAAAAGGTCACAGGCAAGGATGGCATGGCCGTGCTCAACCGCTATGGAACAAGCCCTTTTAGCTCAGTGAATAGCGGTTGAGTTTTACGACATGGTATCAGAGCGAATGTCTTGGGTTCGAATCTCAGTGTGCACAATGGATGTGCTTGTACTCCTAAGGCCTACCCCAGTGAGGGAGGGGGGGGGATGTTGGAAGAACATTGGGATCGGCCTAATGTCCTGAGAAAGGGTCACTGGCAAGAATGGCATGGGAATTATGGGTGCGCTCACTCGCCATGAAACAAGTCATTTTAGCTTAGTGATTAGCGGTTGAGTTTTCCAACATGGTATCAGAGCGAATGTCTCGGGTCATGGCAGAAGGATCACAGATAAGGTTATGGGTGCGCTCACCCGCTATGGAACAAGCCCCTTTAGCTCAGTGGTTAGCGGCTGAGTTCTCCAACAGGCTCTACGCATTTTTCCCAGCTTGCTCTGTCTTCCGGCCATTCAAGCCTTCTCTGCCTGCCTTCACTGGACACCTTGAATTTTGGCTACTGCACACCGTGCCCTGACTCCTGCCACTCCGTCTCACCTTTAGTGTCGACCTGAAAGGCCCAGGAGAGGATGTCGTGCGTCTGAGTGTGCAGCGGCAGCAGCCCCGTGCCGCCTGCAAACCCCGCATGCACCAACACGGCCTCCCCCTCCCCGCTGTCGGCCGAAGCATTGTGAAAAAATTCGCAGGCGTTAAAAGGGAGGGAGAGGAGGGCAGAGGGGGGCATGGCGGGCGAGGAGGAGAGGCGCACGGAGAGCAGCGAGGCGGTGGCGTTGTAGGCCACCCACGCATGCAGCGTCTTGTTCTTGTTGCTGCCCAGCGAGGCCATGCCCGCGGGGTGCACAGACGCATGGCCTGCTGACGTCATGCTGTAATCCATGTTGATACCCACATGGTGAGTGGTTGGATCCAGGAACAGGCGAGTAGATGACGTGTCAAACTCCACTGCCAGGCTGCGCTGATGTGGCAGGCTGCTGTTGAGGGTGATACCACTGCCGCTGTCAACCGGGGTGCATGTGACGATCCCGTTCTCTTCCACGCAGAATTCACCTCCACCGCCATCCGATTCCCCCCCTCCCGCATCCAAAGGAGCCTCCTCCTGCCTGTATGGCCTTCTGCCGTATCCCATGTTTGGTCCGGGCAGTCCGGCGGTCGGGTCGGGCAGGAGAACGAAAGCAAAGCCGTCGGCCCCAAGAGCAGCAGGGTGGGGGGAGGAGAGGCGGAAGGAGAAGGAGGAGGAGAAGGAGTAGGGGCGGCAGGGGGAGGTGGGGGAGGCGGGGGAGACGAGGGGGAAGGGCGTGGGGTGCAGGGCAAGGCCCGCTTGGTGGGGCGGAGAGAGAGGGGTGAGGCGCAGGGAGGAGGGGAGGAGGCGGGCCGAACCGGAGGTGAGGAGGGGAGAGGAGGAGTTCAGTCGGGAGTAGGAGAAGGACGGAGGTGCGGAGGCCACTGAAATTTGTGGGGAGAGGGGCAGGAGCGGTGGGAAAAGGGAAGAGAGGGAGCAAAGGGGAGAGGCTTGAGCAAAGGAGAGAACGAGGTGCGTGGGTTGTCTGGAAGAAGAATGAGCTTCAAGGATTTCCTACCAAGGATGAAATGCGGTACATGCATAGAGAATGTGGCATGGCATGAGCTTCCAAAGATGCATGTGGTGGCATGAGCTCCCAAGGTTGCATGTGGCATGAGCTCCCAAGGTTGCATGTGGCATGAGCTCCCAAGGTTGCATGTGGCGTGAGCTCCCCACCATCATGTAAGCGTGACCGCCGGTCCATTGGACAAGTTATTCTAACCAAGCAGCGCACCTGTGCCTCTGGGAGCCACCGTGATCAGATCCACATCGATGCTCCCCGCTGCCGTTGCAGCTGACATGAGCGCCCCGCCTTCCATCGCTGTTGCCTTGGCAGACAACGAGAAAGCTCTTAGCGCAGATGTACCCCCAGTCACGGACGCAGCTCCAGTCACGGAGGCAGCTCCAGTCATGGACGCAGCTCCAGGACCGGAATCGAAGCCAGACGACATGCCGCCGCTGTCCGCCCCACTGCCCTCGAGCAGCACGAGGTGCAGAGCCACGCCTTGCGGCGGGAAGGAGAGAGCAGCGGCGGAGGCTGAGGAGGGTGGGAGGTGGAAGGAGAAGGGCCCGTGCTGGCGCCAGGGCAGCAGGCCGGAGAGCGGGAGAGGGTTGGCGTCGTCTGTGCGGCAGGGAACGCCGATGGTCCATTGATAGAGCACCATCATGTCTGCTCCTCCGCTGCTCATATCTGCTGCTAGCGCCCTGGCCAGCTCCCCCTCATTCACGCTGCTGCTGCTGCTGCTGCTGCTGCTGCTGCTGCTGCTGCTGCTGCTGCTGCTGCTGCTGCTGCTGCTGCTGCTGCTGCTGCTGCTGCTGCTGCTGCTGCTGCTGCTGCTGCTGCTGTTGCTGCTGCTGCTGCTGCTGCTGTTGCTGCTGCTGCTGTTGCTGCTGCCTGTGTTGCCAGTGCCACCATGGCTGCCAGTGCTGCTGTTGTTGATGCTGCTGCTGACAAGGGTTGGCAGGGGCAGGGCAACGATCAATGCTCGCATCGGCCGTACTCCAGAGGTCATATACATATCAAAGCCGCATTCCCGTGCCCTTGCATAGAAATACAGCGAAAACTTTTGCTGCTGCTGCTGCTGCTGCTGCTGCTCCCCACCTTTTGCAACACACAGCAGCTGCCCCACTCCCGGCACCGGCCACACTGTGCCCCCAATCTCGCTCTTCCCGCTCCCCCAAAGCCCCCCGCCACTGTTGCCACTGCCGTCGCTGGGCTGCAGGCGAACGAACCGACCGCCCTCAGCAGCAACGGACGGATCCCCGGGCGGAACCCCCCCTCCCCCCTCCCCCGCCCCCTGCGCTGCTGCGCCGCCGGGGAACAGTGGCACCCAAGACGACAGGGGCGCGGGCCAGTCTGCTGCGCCGGAAGTTTCCTCGAAGCCCGCATTGCGCAGGAGGTTCAACGAGGGAGCTGGGAGGGGGGGGGGGGGGGGGGGGGAGGGGGGGGGAGACGAGGGGAGGGGGAGAGCGGGAGAAGGGAGAGGCGGTGCGATCATTGGAAGGGGAAGCTCCAATGGGGGAGAAGCGCGCGGCCAATGGGCGGGCATGGTGCTCGTGTCCGGGATGCCTTCTGAGTCGACTCCCTCGAGGCCAAGGGGCGGAAATGGCGCTCGTGTCCGGAATGTTCGTGGTGAAGGGAGGGGGTTGGGGGTGAGGAGGGGGAGGGGGAGGGGGAGGGGGTTGGGGAAGGGGTGCGGGGGGAGGTGTGGGGGTTGTGACGCAATCTCCCACAGGGGAGAGGGAACGACTCGACGGGAGCTTTTGAGAGGTCGCACTGCGACGAGGGGAGTTTTTGAGAGGTCGCACTGCGACAAAGGGAGATTTTGAGAGGTCGCACTGAGGTCGTGATTACCTGAGCTACGAGGCTATCTTTACAAACGGCGCAAAGAGGACTACCTTGAGCTGCGAGGCTGGCGCATGTCGGCACGGCGGCGTTGGCGACAGCGACGAACGAGTTGGAGTGCGCGGTTACCACCAGGAGGCGAAGAGAGGCGACGATGAGGCCGCTGACTGCACTCCAGGCGCCACGTGGACCCCGCTGGCGATTGGCGGCATGCGCTGGATGAATCCCAATAACTAGGGACGTGGCGAGTAACACACTACAGAGTGACTCGTTAAGGATACTGAGTGGTCGATTCGCGTGTGGCATGGAGATTAAGTTCCGCGAGAGCGCGCGGTTGCGAGGAAAGGAGTGGCAGAAGGAAACTTGCGGCGGTGATGGGAGCATGGCGTGAGAAGATAACATTTGTGTCGACTGCAAAGAAAAAAAACTTACAATTATCTTAGCGCCTGCATTTCCTAGAACAAATCCCAACAGGCCAAGCCAAGGCAAAGCCAAGCTGGATCTAGGTTTGGAAGCTTACTCATTAGGGCTCCAATGGCTGCCCCAATGGCTCATGTTCGAACCCTCGCCGCGTTGCACCACGCTTGTATCTGATTGACCGCACTAAACTGCTTTCAAACCTCACTGAATATCCAACCCTAACCTCTGTACAACCTGCTCGTTGGATGTAGGAGGTTGCTAGCTGGGTTGAGGAAGATATTCACGAGCCAGCAACGAATCACTCGGCAGCTGTGGACGGCCAACAAGGTTTTCATCAAGCGCAACGAGCACGCCGCTCGCGCCGGCGGGGCACAAGAGCTGGCTGACCAAGGCACGCCGCGCGCCGAGATAGCCGGATTGGGTCACTGGGCTATTGACAAGATGACGAGGAGTTACATCACTTCAATTCCAGTCGGGGTGGTGATGAGGAAGGCCGGCTACCCCGGAGCCCGAAGCGACTACTTCCTGAGAAGAAGTGAACGAGAATGAAATGACTATGAACGAAGTGAGTACAAATAGGAAACCCTGATTGGGTTGTACCCCTTATGGGATACCCCACTATAGCCTACAGAAACAAGTAAGCTATATATTCTGACACACCCCCATAGGCAAAGTGGGGGAGAACAAGGGGTCACAAGACCAGTCAAGCAAAGCAAAGCAAAGCTCAGGGTGGATCACAAAGTCACCACGCATTCCGAGCACAAGTTCAAAGGCCAGAAGGCCAGTTCACATGCAAGATCATATATAGAGATATACAAGAGGCAAACAAGCAACAACAAGAGTATATATAGGCGAAGGTACAAGCAAGGTCAAGAGGAGAGCAAGTGAGGCAAGACAGGCACAAGACCCAACTGCGTGCAACAACGCTGATGATCACAAGGCGCAAGTGCCTTGGTGAAGACATCAGCAGTGTTGGCCTCAAAGGCCACGTACGCAAGTCGCAACTGTCCACGCTGCTGTAGCTCACGAGCAAGAAAGTAGCGGAGAGCAATGTGCTTCGTTCTGTGCTCCAGTCGCTGCTCTCGACACAAGGCCAGCATGGCCTTGTTGTCTACGTACAGGACTGGAGGAGAACGAGGCTCCTCTCCAAGGTCGGTCAGCAGGTAGGTGAGCCAACGTAACTCCTGCGCAGCCATAGCCCCAGCGTAGATCTCAGCCTCACAACTGGAGCCGAGAACAGAAGACGAGCGGGTAGCCCGCCACGAAACAGAGCCGGAACCAAGGCTGAAGGTGTAACCCTGTGACGACCGCTGCGTAGCCTGGTCGTCAGCCCAAGAAGCGTCTGCGTGCCCAGTGAGGACCACTGGACTGCGCCCTCCAAGCACTAGCCCCATGCCCGACGTGCTGCACAAGTAGCGCAACACCCTCTTCGCTGCAGCCATGTGCTCTGGTCGGTGTCTCCCAGGAGCAACATAGCGTGCGAGAATGCTAAGAGGGTATGCAAGGTCAGGACGTGTGCAGGTCATCAGGTACATGAGGCAGCCAACAAGCTCTGCAAACGGGCCACTCGACTCTACGGACTCATCCGAAGGCAGAGCTGAGAGTGAGTGGCGAGTAGGCAGAGGAGTGGCCTGAGGCGAGGAGTACGTGAAGCCGAAGCGCTGAAGGACCTGCTGCACCATGTGTGACTGAGTCAGGGTAATGGTGCGGCGCGCTCTGTCCCGAGTGATCTGCAAGCCAAGGTAGCTACGCAGTTCACCCAGGTCAGTGCACGTGTGTCTCTTCTGCAGCTCGGACTTCACGTAGGCGAGTCCAGCAGTGTCAGCTGTGGCAAAGACCAAGTCGTCGACGTACACGAGGATGTAGAACGGCGGCAGAGAGGTGTCGTTGCGCAGAAACAGCGACGGGTCGGCAGTAGACGGAGCAAACCCAAGTGCCGCCAGCGTAGTCCTCAGTGTGTCGTGCCACTCACGAGGCGCCTGGCGGAGACCGTAGACTGGACGCCGGAGACTCCACTGGGTACCAGAAGGGAAAGACCCAGTGAAGCCAGGTGGGCGACGCAGCCAGATCTCCTCGTGCAGACTGCCCTGCAAGAAAGCTGTGCTGAAGTCGAGAGAGTGCAGCTCGTAGTCACGGTGAGCAGCGACGTGCAGCAGAACCCGAAGAGTAGTCATCTTCGGGGTGGGGGAGAAGGTCTGAAAGTAGTCAACCCCCTGCCGCTGACTGAAGCCACGAGCCACGTAACGCGCCTTGAAGACAGGCGGTGAACCCGGCGGCTGCTTCACCCTGAAAATCCACATGCCACTGACGATGTTCGCCCCAGGAGGGGGAACAGCGTCGACGTAGGTGCCTGTGGACTTCCAGGAAGCCATCTCTGCATCCATAGCTGCCTGCCACTGAGAGGAGTAGGGACCCTCTATCGCCTCCGCGTAAAAGCGCGGAGTCGGGATGTCTGGTGCATCCGGGTCTCCCTCAGGGGCTAGCAGTACAGACGCGAGATGAGGTGAAGCGGCTGCCAGACACTGGAACTCCTCCTGCCTGTCCTCAAGGACGTCCGTGCCGAGGGCACACTCACCCCCGACGGACGGAGGACAGGCAGACTCAGACTCAGCGACAAGACTGGCAGCGTAGTCTAGACGACAGCGTGCAGCAAAGTCGACAAGCTCAGTGACAAGGGCAGACGCAGCAGACGACTCGAAGGAAGGGTCAGTGACAGCAGTAGCAAGAAGACGCGTGACAGTAGGACCGGCAGCACGAAGAGAGTCCGACTCCGGGTCGGCAAGAGCAGGAAGAGAGGAAGCAGGAGGAGAAGGCAAAGGGGCACGTAGAGGAGCAGTGGACGGACGCAGTGACATCCGGTGCGTGCCAAGGACAGGAGGAGGACGCTGACGCGACCCGCGACCACTAGCGCGCTCAGTACGAACAGGCGACGCAGGACGAGACGCAGGCTCACGACGCTCAGTAAGACCTCCAGTCGGACCAGCGTAGGGAGAAGGAGCAGGCACAGGGGAGGCAGGTTGTAGCTGTGGCTGTGACCGGACAGGCTGCGGACCCTCTAAGGGAGGAGGAGGTGTAAGACCAAGAACCTGCTGCAGGAGCGGAACGAAGTACGGTCGGGGCCGCGCGGCGACGTCAGAAACAGCAGGAACAGCACCAGTACCCCCAGCAGGAGCACCCACTACAGTAGCACCTCCAGCAGCACCAGAACCTCCAGCAGCAGCACCAGGAGCACTGTCAGTCGGACCGCCAGCGGCAGGCACAGCGCCAACACCCTCAGCAGCACCAGCTCCAGGAGAACCCTCAGACCCAGCAGCTCCAGCACCCACAGTACGAGCACCTCCGGGACGCGCGGCAGCAGTACCCTCTGCAGCCGAAGAACCACCAGCACCAGCAGCACGCCTCCAGCGCCTGGCAAACCACTCACGCAGCTCCTGTGGGGAGAGTGGCTCCCGGCGAGACGAAGCACCCCCAGGCACAGCACCCTCAGGCTCAGCACCCCCAGGCTCAGCACCCCCAGGCTCAGCACCCCCAGGCCCAGTACCCCGAGGCTCGGCACCTCCAGGCTCAGCACCCCCAGGCTCAGCACCCCCAGACTCCGCACCCCCAGGCTCCGCACCCCCAGGCACAGCACCCCCAGGCACAGCACCCCCAGGCTCAGCACCCCCAGACTCCGCACCCCCAGGCTCCGCTCCCGCAGCAGCACCAGAGTCACCAGTGACCTCTACAGGCTTGACCGCGTCTACCTGGGACACACCTGAAGGGGCAGGACCCTGAGGGGGGAGGGGGTCTACCGGGGGGGGACCTGGTACCAAGAAGAGCGGGGGTGGGGGGAGGGACGGAGTGCGGTAGGGGAAGAGGCGGTAGTAGGGTACCGACTCGTCGAACGTGACGTCCTGGGAGGACAGAACACGTCGAGAGGTGGGGTGGTAGAACTGCCACCCAGGGGCGTCGGGGGGGAACCCCAGGAAGACGCAGGGAGCAGCGCGAGGGGACAGCTTGTCCGCAGACAAGTCGCGGACAAACGCCCGAGATCCCCAGACCCGGAACGCCGACGCATCGCCAACCTTCCCCGTCCACAGGAGGGCTGGGGAGGTCTCCGGCCTGGAGACCCTGGGGTGGAGGTTGATCTGATGCGCGGCGTACCTGACCGCAAACGGCCACAGAAAATGGGGGGCAGCCGCATGCATCATGGACGTACGGGCGACGTCCATGACCATGCCAATGCGGCGCTCAGCAATCCCATTTTGCTGCGGGGAGTCCGGAAGCGTGAAGGACTGGCGGATGCCTCGCGCACGACAGTAGGCACGCAGAAGGCCAGAGGAGAACTCTGCGCCTCTGTCCGAGTGCAGACGCAACACAGGAAAGTCGGAGCCAAAGCTCTGCCTGAGCTGAAGACGAGCTGCGCGGATCCAGTCGATCAGCACCTCAGTGACCTCACCCTTGCTGCGCAAGGGGAAGACCGTGGTGTAACGCGAGTAGTCTACAACAACGAGCAGGAAGTAGCGCTCCTGACCCTGTCCACGGACGCGGGCTGGGCCCCACACGTCCATGTGAAGCGTCTGCAACGGGGCCTCTGTCGGAGGAAACTGGGAGGAGTGAGGGGCAGCACGCTGGCGCCCCTCGACACAGGGGACACAGGCAGGGCCAGGGCCCTGAGGAAGGGGAGGGAGGGACCGGGGGAGACCAGACACAAGAAGACGGGAGGCCATGCCTCTGAGCCGAAGCAGAGAGGGGTGGCCAAGGCGGTGGTGCCAGAGGAGGGTCTCGTGAGACAGACGACGACACGAACAGGGGGCAGACTCAGGACCAGACCTGGACGCTGCGGCAAACACCTGACCAGACGAAGGGACCCTACCAGACTCAGCACCTGGAGGAGAAGCAGTGGTCAGTGTGTACAGGCTCGACCCTGGCCGACGTGTAAACGTAGCCAGGTGGCGTCCCGTGCTAGCCTCCGTGCAGTGGGT